TATATATATATAGATTTGCAGATTCGAAATTTTTGCAAATCATTTCCGCAGAAAAATGATCTTTATAAAAGAAGAGAAATGTCTATGGACTGTGGCGTAACGGCCGCCATGACATTCGACTTTTCGCGCGGCGATTTGTCTACCAGTCGTCTGTAAAGCGAACAATCCATTAATTCTCGGACGGGAACAATTAACCCATTTGCACCATGCGACAAAATGGAAAATATATCACCAGATTTTGTTTCTTAAATCTGAATACAATGACATTCCAATAAATGTTTCATAAAATATATAAATGAACAAAAGAATTCATATGTATTCACACGTTTATCTAAAAGTTTTCATTACATGTTCTAATGCATATAATTGCATTAAAAAACATATGATTAGATGAAAAAATTGACCTTCATATGCCCTCCATGAGTTCATATAGGCAAAAGGCTACATGACATATTTTTTGTGTCATCAATAGTTTCGAAGATACCCAAATGAGTCTGTTTAAATGGGTCACCTTGTATATACGTTCTGCTGGCAATGCCAACAAAGATATTCGAACGTTGTGCATGCTTAAACGCAATAAATGTCCCACAAATTTTTGCAAATGTATTGCAAAATATTTTTTAAATTTCATTGCACGTCTGTACCACAAAACGCAACTTGTTTCAATAAATAGCAATACAATATTTTTAATAACAATTTATTTCTTAGCATATTATTCAAACACTTGAATGATGCAAACGGGTTGAATCGGAACTTTTGCAGAGGTCATTATGAATCCACCTAGTCCGAACGGGTTCGGAACATTTCGTTTCAAACGTGAGAAATTGCTTCACGGCCGTTTTCTTCGGGCAATTCGTTTCTTTGACGTTCGATCGCGAGGAAGAAACGGAAATGACGGACACGCTCTTCTAGGAACAAACATCTGGCTAAGCGGATAGGTATTGTTCCCCTAGTTGCCCCGGAATCAATCGAAATAAATCGAAATCGCGGACAATTTCGTATCGCAATGAATCTACGGGCATATCGTTGCGCTACGGAGATTTACTCTCCGTGTTTTCGTGCGGGGATATGCAAATTATCAATGGAAGATAAAAATGTACCGTTCTAATAATGCCTCTAATCAGATGTCGCCAATTCGAGGTCGTTGGATTGAAATCACGCGGAAACAGGAGAAATGGGAATGTAGAATTGTTCTGGTTTATCTGAAATAATTGAATGATAATCTAATAAAAGAATTTTTCACGCGCTTCGGAGAGGGAGTTCTCTAAATTAGTAAACAGTAGAAATCATTTTTGCATATCAATGTAAACGACATCGTGTTATTATTGTAATTAATAATATTGTTGTACAAAATATAAAATATGAATAAAACATTGCAGTAATACGATTCCGTCGTTATTACTGTATTTAATAATGAACGTAATAAGCCTCCTTCTTTAATTTGCTAATTATACTTAATTATTTCCTTTAGCAATATACCCTACCGCCGATACTACCTTAAAGTGAAAAAAACAACAATGAAAGACACACAAAGAAAAAGAAGTCCCACTGAATGTTTCAAGGATAAAAATGTTAAATTTCAATTTTTCCA